GATGATGATGATGCTGATGATGATGATCATGCTGATGACGATGATGATGTTGACGACGACGACGACAATGACGATGATGGTAATAAAGATGTTGAAATCGACGACCACATTTATGATGATGATGATTATGCTGGTGACGTCGACGACGATGATGATAATGAGGATATTGTCGATGATGATGATGATGATGTTGGTGATGATGATGATGATGGTGATGATGATTGTTATGATGATGTTAATGATGATGAGGGTAATGATCATTATAATGAGAACGATGATGATAACAATGACGACGAAAATGATCATGATGATGATGGTGATGATGGCCGTAGTGAAGAAAATGATGATAATGATGACGATGATGGTGGCGGCTGATGTTGATGGTGGTGATGACGGAGATGATAGCAATATAAACGTGTATGCGAGATCCAGGTAGCGGTTCACAAGAAGAATATGATAATGGTGACGACGACGATGATGTCGATGTTGATGATGGTGATATAGATGACGACGACGACGACGACGTTGATCATGATGATGCTGATGATGATGGTGGGGATGATGATGTTGATGATGATGATAATGGTGATGATGATGCTGATGCTGATGACGATGATGCTGATGATTGTGACGACGACGATGACGTGGATGATGAGGGTTGTGAGGACGACGGCGATAATGATGATTATCATCGTGATGATGATCGTGATGATGATGATGATGTTGAAGAAGATGATGATGATGGTGATGATGATGATGTTGAGGATGATGCTGACGATCATGATGGCGATAATGATAATGGTGATATTGGTGACGACGCCGATGTTGATCATGATGATGCTGATGATGATGCTGGTGATGATGATGAGGATAATGATGATGATGTTGACCATGACTATGATGGTGACGGTGAAGGTGACCAATATGATGACGATGACGATGATGGTGGTGATGTTGATGAGGATGATGATGAGTGTGATGATGGTGATGATGATGATGATGATGATGATTGCGAAGACGTCGACGACGATGACGATGATGATCATGATGATGGTGATGATGAAGATGATAGAAATGCTGGTGATGATTGTGATGATGATGATTGAGAAGACGTCGACGATGACGATGATGATGAAGGTGCTGGTAATGATTATGTTGATGATGGTGATTTTGATGATGATAATAACGGCGATGACGACGATGATGATGAGGTTGATGTTGACGTTGATTGTGACGATGACGATGATGATGATGACGATGGTGATGATAATGATGCTGATGGTGTTGATATCGATGATGATGACGATGATGATGATGACGATGGTGATTGAGAAGATTTCGACGACGACGACGATGACGACGATGATGATGATGCTGATGGTAAAGATTATGTTGATGATGCTGGTTTTGTTGATGATTATAATGGGGATCATGATGGCGATGACGACGACGATGATGAGGTTGATGATGACGATGATGGTGATGATGACGATTTGATGATGACGATGACGACAATGATGATGATGATGTCGGTGATGGTGATAATGATGACGACGATGATGATGATGATGGTGATGGAAATTATTATGTTGATGATGGTAGTTTTGTTGATGATTATGATGAGGATCATGATGGCGATGACGATGATGATGATGAGGTTGATGCTGACGATGATGGTGTTGATGATTATGATGACGATAATGATAAGGATGATCATGATGATGGCGATGATGGTGCTGATGATGATGACGATGATGATGATGATGATGATGATGATG